TCAATGTCAGTTTCCTGATTGTGATACTGTTCTATAGCTATGCAAGTTGTCAATATTGGAAAAGGTGAGGATGAAAGGTACCTGGACCTCCATGTACATTTATTTGTAACTTCGATAATTATTTCACTATAAAAGTAAAATGAAAACTTACTGCTACCAAGGAAAAGAAAGTTCTCTAAATGGGTAGTGACAGGACCAAATGCTTTTGAGCTATAGGTATTCTGGGAAGATAACAACGAAGACAGCATAGCTTTTCAATCTCTCTGAACCCCCACATGAAAATCAAAAGAGCAACTGTAAATGAAATCACTCATGGACAACTCTACAACAAATATAGGTGACAAATGTCCTCCACCCCCAAGTGGAAGTTGTGGGGTCACACTACCAACAGCTAAGACCTGATAGAGTTGTCTAAGCTGAAGGGAGATGGAAGAAACAGGTCATCTATTAGACCTCTAAGAACCAGAGAACCAAAAAATAGCTAATAGTTTAGAAAGGACAAGGGACCAATTTGAAAATAGTGTTATCCTTTTATCCACAATGTTGCTGAACTATTTTGGAAGATCTAGATTACAGATTTTCTATGGAGACAACCATATTATCCATAAATAATAAAAAATCACTTCTTCCTTTCTAATATCCCTTTATTTCCCTTTTTGGTCTTATTAACATCTTGATTAACATCTAATAAACTTGAAAACCTTGGCTGGTTCTTGACTTTAAAGAGAAAATTATTAACATTTCACTATTAGATATGATGTTTATTTAGATTTTCAGATAATTTCTACCAAGATTCTGTAATGAAAATGTTTTTTCTAATTGCGTCATAAGTAAATATGGCAAAATACAACATACATTAAATCTTGGTAGAAGATCGTGGTAGATTAAAAATAATTCAAGTTTTTGCTACTTCTTCCTTTGAGAGTTGGAGCCTAATTCACTTCCCCATGAATCTATACTGGCCTTAGTAACATGCCTGACCCATAGAAGGTGGTAGAAGTGATGTTTTGGAAAGCTTTGCAGCTTCTGCTGGGGACTCCTAGGACTCTGTCTCCCGAAACCCTGAGCTGCCACGTAAGTCTGATTACCCTGACTGCTATGATGGAAAGGCCACAAGAAGGTGCTCTGTTGATAGTCTCAAATGAGTCCATCTTCAAGCTAACTTCATCAAGGTGTCAGATCCTGACTGAAGCCATCTTGAATCCCCCAGACCAGCCCATCCACCAGGAGAGTAAACTCTGTTGACATCATCAGAAGAGAAAAGTCAATCAAGCCTTGCCCAAATTCCTGAGCAACAAAATTGTGAGATGTAATAAAATAGTTGTTTTAAACCACTGCCACTTGGGAAAGTTTGTTAAGCAGCAGCAGATTACTGGAACATGTGTACAGAAACTATTTCTATGGTTTTAAATTTTTTTTCCAAATTTTCTTTAATGAAATTGAGCCTCTTCCTCATTATTGGAAGTGAGGCTATTTGCCATTGGTTAGGAAAAACAACTAAAGGTAAAAATAGGCAAGCATAGCCTAGAGGATCTCCAGTTCCATGCTAGACCAATGCTAGGACCAGGTCTGCATAACCAGTACTACTAAACTATAGGAATGAATTAGAAAATGGGTGGATACTCCCCTGCAGGCCCTTCACTTAGGGATGGACCAACATCTTCATGCAAATCAGAAAGAGGAATACATTTCTCTGGACAGACCCAGCCTGACAAAAGACTGTGATGTACAAAGCGTAGGCTGGACCTCAGCCTCCACTTCCCCCAACATCCTTGCGCAGGGCACAATTAGTATAACCTACATGTATTATCTTTATATAAAGTACAAAGTAACATTTCTACATTTGCAAGTGAAAAATTCTTGTGGGTGGCAATGAGCTAAGTTGATGAGGATGGAAAGATCTTAGGAGTCTGTGTGAGTGGGCAGAAAGGTGGCAAATGAGTACATAAAGTATACATATGAGCTCACAGTCACAGGTAAGGAGAGGGATTTAGGGTTATTGTCGATTGTTCCCTGAAGATAATGCAGAGGCTTCTTCTAACAGCAAAAAGACAACCACTTGAATCATTAAAGTGACATTCCCCCTGAGAAGCAAAGTAGTATCACCCACTCAACTGATGCTTTGATGGAAGCTGAATAAGGCAGAAACCATTAGAAGAAAGATTCGAGAAAAATTAACAGCATGAGGGCCTGGAAGAAACAGGGACTTCTATATATCATGAGTGGGATACGAAGGACAAACCAAAGCAGGTCCCGGTGGAAGCAGCTGCAGTGGCTGAGGTGGCAGCAGTGACTACAGCATGCTTGGGACTAGACACTAGTAGCTATTAAGAGGGTGGTGAGGGCAGCAGTAGCAGCAGTTCAGTTGGTTTCCCAGCTGATACAGTAGTATTGGACAGCAATGGTGGCACGAGACCATTAATGTTGGCAATAGGAATGGAGATAAAGCAACAGTCAGGAAATTGTCAAACAAATTCTTCATGAACTCTTTATTCAGCCTTGACCACTTTTCAGGGACCATGTTGAGTAGAGAAATAAATGTCAACAAACACTCATTATATGCCCAGCCCCCTAATAGATGTTGGAATACAAAGACGGCTAGAACATGGTCCCCACCCTTCAAGGACCCAAAATTAAGTATGGGGAGCATATATGAGAACAAATAATTATGATCATGTGGTCATTATAGGGACAAGATATAAACTTCCATAATAGTCCAATGCAAAGAGAAAAAACATATTCCTTTGCTCTGACACAGCATTTAAGCGGGCATTGTGTCAGGCACTATCCAAGTTACAAGATAAATCAGACATAGATCCTGATCTCAGATGCTTATTTTCTCATAGATGAGGTAGGACAAGTATAATTCTGTAAAACAAAGACTATCCAAGCTACATCTTTCTTTGCTTAGAAATCTCCTCTGCTAAATATCCAATTTCATCATTCATAAGTTCTACTTTCTGTAAAACATGAGAACACAATTCAATGAAGTTTTTTCACACTGTGTAACAAGCATCACTTCCCTCCAACTTCCAATCTTCATTTCCACCTATGATCTCAGTGGAACGGCCTTTAATATCCACATTTCTAGCAACATTCTGTTCATGCTTATTCATGTATTTCTGTAACATAGAAGTGTTGTCTCCTGCTCACTACTTTTCTTTCTGATACCTCATCAGAGTCACCTTTAATGTCCTTGTATCTATCAACAGCGTCTTCACAGCAATCTCAGCTTTTTCCAGCATGTGTCTCAAAACTCTTCCAGCCTCTACCCATCACGTAGTTCCAAAGCCACTTTCACATTTTTTAGGTATTCCAACAAATAAATAAAAGTTTCTTTTAAAAAACCGTAAATGTTTTAGTTCCTACCAAGTTTATAATTACCAGCATTCCACAATCCTCTGTAAGGTTGCAGAAAACTAAAATTTTAGGAAAGAAAAATCCTAACTCTGTTATGAAAAGGCAAGGGAAAAATTATGTTCAAGGAAAGACTTGCTTTTGGGGGGTGGGAATCAGGAAGGGAGAGAAGCCATTGCCTGCAACAATCACTATTTGATCAAACCAATTTTATTGCTATTATTTTTAGCTCATCTTCTTAGCCTGTTGCTAAGGAACCCTATTGCCTGAAAGCAATTAACTAATAGAAACCCACGTGAAGCAAGAGAAAAGTAATGATCCTGAAACTTTCAAATTAGGCCATCCTAATTTAGTCTATTTTGGTGCCATTTAATAAATTATCTCTTCTCAATCTTTACATAGCGCTATTGCTATGTTGAAAATCCTGTTTACCCAAAACCAAAATAATCATTTATGTATTTTTAATACAAGAGTTCCCAGAGCAGTATATCTGAAATGGAGAGCTCTCATAGTTCTGGATTCTGATTTTATTAGTACTTGTCTTTTCTTCTTGAAAATACTGTGAATTTTAAACAATTTCTTGAAAGGGAAATTTTCGTATTTTAAGAGCTCTGTTGCAGAACATGGGTAAAGGACTCGACAAAGCTATGAGATATATGAAAGCTTTGAACTGAAATTTCGACTTGATAATGTGGCAAGAGGGCTAAAACATCTAGTGCAAAGTAAGAATGACACCGGGAGGATCAGAGCACTGGGGAGGGCGCGGATGCTCCAGGGATCGAGGTGTGGGCTGGGGTGTCAGCGGAATCCAGTACGACACAAATACTTATAGGAAAGGTGGGAACTCTGGGTCTTCGCATTTCTACCCCCTCAGCTAGAGAATCTCGTAACAACACACAGACGTCATCGCCTTCGTAAATGGTGCAGATGGTGAGTCGCAGGCACCCGGTTCAAGCCGTTTCGACTGGAGTCTACCTAGATTTGCCCGTTTCCTACTCTGATTTCTGCCGTCTGCGTTTGCCCCCAATAACCTCAAGGTCGTCCAAACTAAAATCTGGCCATGGTAGAGCTAAGAAGATCAGTGATACAGCAGGCTATCTTCAAGCTTTGGGGTCTTCCATTACACATTTGAAAAAGTCCTTCCATACCGTTGGTTTTCCCAGACACGCGGACAGACAACAGAGGTAGAGCTAGCCAACCGCCGGACTCTAAGGAGCGCCAACGTGGCGGTAACGGGAAAACGAGAGTTCCAAATTCCACCAATCAACCGCACAGCTCCGCCCACGCCCCGCCCATCACTCCTGCCAGCCAATAACCTTCACAACTCTGCCGCCACTCCCGCCTATTCTTAGGGCCGCTTCCGAGCCTCTTCCTCTGCTCCGCTTCGCATAACGCCGTAAACCCGCTGTATACGCGCCCCTCTCCGCTTTCAGAGGGCCCTCTGCCCTTCTTTACTGAAGGCGTAGGGAACGGCATAGGCTACCGCCGGAGCCAAGACCACAGAAGTTAGTCACAAACAGCAGCGGAGCGAAAGGAAAGAGAAAGGGCTGCTCAGAACGTTCACCTCACGCCCAGTTTACCTTGACCCGGAAGTGATTCTCCTCTCCACTTCACTCCTCCTCCTCTTCCCCTTCGTCCTCCTCCTCCTCCCCTCAGTTGAGAAAGGAAGAGAAGGACGGCCAGAGCTGGCCCGGCATGCTTTGGGCTTCCGGTGACCTCTGGCCCTTTTCTGTCGTCCGCTCCTGCTACCTAGCGTGCTTGCTTGCTTGCTCGCTGCTTTCCTTCCCTGCGTCCCTCCGGTTTTCCTTCTCACGCTACCTAGTGACTGTGGCGCCCGCGACCACCAGGGAGGCGGTGACGGAGGACACTCGTCATGGCCGCCTCTAAGCCTGTGGAGGCGGCAGTGGTCGCAGCGGCTGTTCCCGGCTCTGGCGGTGGGGTGGGCGGCGGCAGTGCGACTGCGGGCA